TCAGTTTTATAAATGAAATGAACACACTAAAAAGGAAAAGCTTTACATCAAAAGTCCTCCCTTCCCATCAGAGGTCCCCCCTTCATGTTAGACCCCCCCCCGCCATCAGACGTTCTCCCTTCACTTCAGAAGCCCCCAACATAAGAAGTCTGCTCCTTACATCAGACGCCCCAATCTGATCAGAAGCCACCTATCATAAGAAGTCCTCCCTTCCTGTCAGAAGCGCCCATCATAAGAAGTCCTCCCTACTGATCAGAAGCCCCAATCTGATCAGAAGCCTCCCGTCATAAGAAGTCCTCCCTTCCAGTCATAAGAAGTCCTCCCTTCCAGTCATAAGAAGTCCTCCCTTCCAGTCATAAGAAGTCCTCCCTTCCAGTCATAAGAAGTCCTCCCTTCCAGTCATAAGAAGTCCTCCCTTCCAGTCATAAGAAGTCCTCCCTTCCAGTCATAAGAAGTCCTCATCATAAGAAGTCTTCCCTACTGATCAGAAGCCCCAATCTGATCAGAAGCCTCCCATCATAAGAAGTCCTCCCTTCCAGTCATAAGAAGTCCTCCCTTCCCGTCATAAGAAGTCCTCATCATAAGAAGTCTAACCTACTCATCAGAAGTCACCCGTCATAAGAAGTCCTCCCTTCCCGTCTGAAGCTCCCATCATAAGAAGTCCTCCCTACTCATCAGAAGCCCCAATCTGATCAGAAGCCCCAATCTGATCAGAAGCCTCCCATCATAAGAAGTCCTCCCTTCCTGTTAGAAGCCCCCATCATAAGAAGTCTTCCCTACTGATCAGAAGCCCCAATCTGATCAGAAGCCTCCCATCATAAGAAGTCCTCCCTTCCCGTCATAAGAAGTCCTCATCATAAGAAGTCCAACCTACTCATCAGAAGTCACCCGTCATAAGAAGTCCTCCCTTCTCGTCCGAAGCCCCCATCATAAGAAGTCCTCCCGACTCATCAGAAGCCCCAATCTTATCAGAAGCACCAATCTGATCAGAAGCCTCCTGTCATAAGAAGTCCTCCCTTCCTGTATCTCCCTTCCTGTCAGAAGCCCCCATCATAAGACGTCCTCCCTACTGATCAGAAGTCCCAATCTGATCAGAAGCCTCCCGTCATAAGAAGTCCTCCCTTCCCGTCATAAGAAGTCCTCCCTTCCCATCAGAAACCCCCATCATAAGAAGTCCTCCCTACTCATCAGAAGTCCTCCCTTCACATCAGAAGCCCCCATTATAAGTAGTCCTTACTTCACATCAGAAAGCCCCCATCTTATCAGAAAACCTCACCCTGTCACAGATGTTTCCACCACCCAAAATAAGACCACGTCCACAAGTGCCCCTTTCTCTACTTCCTGTGTTCAATGAATAAACATGGTTGTCTACAGCTAAAAATAAAGATCCAGATCTGATCGTTCCTTAGTACACCCAACCATCCTTCAGGTCTCCGGTCTTTGGACATCAAATTGTGATTTTACACTTTCCACTTCCTAAATTAAAAAAAAAAAAAAAAAAAGGGGGAAGGGGGTGTTTGCACCAGTCTCTGGAGGAGCTCACTCTTTCCTTTTGGCAAGTGCTAAATCTTTTTTTTTTTGCAGCAGCGCGTCCATTTCCTGAAATCCTTGTTTGGTATGTATTAATTGGGGAGGAGGGCTGGTGCCAGTCTCCACGGGTAACGATTTTGGCTAATTACAAGTCTGGGAGTTTAATAAGAGGGTTGTGTGTTTTTCTCCCCTTCTCCTACAGGACAAGGTTCAGACACACAAAATACAGACTTGTCAGGTTCCTTTTCCTCCAGTTTGGTTTAGATTAGGACGGAGAAGTTGTTGGAGGGAGTCATTTCACCGAGTTAGACTTTGCTAATTAAAACTGTTTATTTTATATATTTTTTCCCTCTGTGTTCGCGTTTATGGCTCAACAGGCAGCGTGTTCGAGCGATGGATCGCCATTACATGGTCTCTTTTTAATACGGTTTCTGGATGTGACCGCGGCGTTTTTTGGCTCATTCGGCTGCGATGGGGCGAAAAGCAAAATTTTTAAAACCCCCTGATGCATGACAAAAAAAGCGCATCTGACATCAAGCTGGCTGTATAACTAGGTTAAATCACAGCTAACCAGCTGTTCTACGTGCACGAGGGGATTCGCATGCTTGAAGAATGCTCGGTCTAAGGAACAAAAAAAAAAAAAAGTTCTTACAAAAAAAAAAAAAAATAGAATTAAATTAAAACCAACAAAGCCACTTCTGGGGCTATAAAATAGAAATGGAGGGGGAGAGAATTTAAAAGAGAAACCACAAACAACAAAATAAACAAGTATTATAGACTACAAAACTAACTTCATTGTTTCCACGTAGAATACTCAACGACTTCCCAGGCAACCTCAAAGCAAAGATGGCTTATTACGTACAGCCGTTCAATGAATACCAGTAGCCAATTAGAGTTCAGGCTGAGGAAATGCAAGTGGTCATACACCAGAACACAAAAATCTAGGCAGGTTTTTTAAGACTTAATAAAAGTCCAGTTTTGGGAAAAAATTAAAAATGTAAAAATAAAGCCCCCCCCGCCCAAAAAAAAAAAAAAAAGCGGACTGGAGTGCTCACCTCCTGTTCCCCAAAGACTCACCTCTCCAACCGTTCCACCATAAATCCTCCTAGGTTAAATGACGCCCAGCACCATTTACCAACTTCCATTGAGCCCTGTGTGTCATGGACACACCCCCAGCACATTGGCCTGGGCTCACTGAACAATATAGCAGAGAGCAGCACCAATCACAAGAAAGACCACCCATCACATTAAAAGGCCTGGGACATCATCATACTGCATGTTGCATATGGCGTATTTTAAAGCTAAACATTGATTAAATCTATTGGTCGTTTGTATTTTTCTTGCATCTTGGTGAGCTTTGTGTATTTCCTCCAGATCTGTGCAGTAATCCAGTGTGAGACTTCCTGTAATAAAGACCGCTCACTGCTGTTCTCTCTCCCTTGTCCAGGGTGCCTGGTCTTGTCTCCGCCCCCTCCTGTAGTTTTGTGCAGACAGCCTGTAGTGGGTGGACCCTGCTGGGCCCCTCCCACAGTTCTGCTCTCTCCGTGTGCAGGGTGCCTGGGCTTCTCTCTGCCCTATCCTGTAGTGGGTGGATCCTGCTGGGTCCCTCCCACAATTCTGTTCTCCTCTTGTACAGGGTGCCTAGTCTTGTCTCCGCCCTGTCCTGTAGTGGGTGGACCCTGCTGGTCCCCTCCCACAGTTCTGCTCTCCTCTTGTACTGGGTGCCTGGGCTTGTGTCCGCCCTATCCTGTAGTGGGTGGACCCTGCTGGGCCCCTCCCACAGTTCTGCTCTCTCCGTGTGCAGGGTGACTGGTCTGGACTCCTCCCCTTCCTGTAGTTTTCTGTAGTGGGTGGAGACTGTTTGGGTCCATCCCACAATTCTGTTCTCCTCTTGTACAGGGTGCCTAGTCTTGTCTCCGCCCTGTCCTGTAGTGGGTGGACCCTGCTGGTCCCCTCCCACAGTTCTGCTCTCCTCTTGTACAGGGTGCCTGGGCTTGTCTCCGCCCTATCCTGTAGTGGGTGGACCCTGCTGGGCCCCTCCCACAGTTCTGCTCTCTCCCGTGTGCAGGGTGACTGGTCTGGACTCCTCCCCTTCCTGTAGTTTTCTGTAGTTGGTGGAGACTGTTTGGGCCCCTCCCACAGTTCTGCTCTCTCCGTGTGCAGGGTGACTGGTCTGGACTCCTCCCCTTCCTGTAGTTTTCTGTAGTGGGTGGAGACTGTTTTGGTCCATCCCACAGCTCTGCTCCCTGCACAGGCTATGTACAGCATGGCTATGGTGTCACTGCTACATGTAATAACTAAGTTTGCAAAGGCATTTATATATAATTAAATGAAATCTTGTCCTTGGGAGTTCAGCTTTAAAAAACTAGGTTTGAGCTGGAGATCTGCTTCAAAGTAGATGTGAAAGTTTGGAGACCTCATCGGCAGCCATTGCACAGCATGGGTGGCACTGCATAACTATCCATGTTCTGTATTCTGAAATATCGTTCTATCATACATAAAACTTCCTGTAAATGTAGGTTTGCCGGCCCATTAAAAGGAAAGCCTTTCATTCTGGAGGAATAGTCGGAATTGGGGTCTGTTTGTTGGAAGCACCTGAGGCTATTTGGTTTCTTGAGTGGAGCCATGTCTATACTCCATTAGGGTAATGCCACCGCACACCTCTGGAATAATCCTTCAAAGTTGTGCTAATGATGTCCTCTCCTCTAGCCTTTGCCCTCTAATCAGCGCGCAGATTGTTATCGGCAGCAGCAGGTACCGGGCCCAGGCCTTTAATTACAAGGTCGGAAATAATAGGACCTGCAATTTGTTGGGGATTAGCTTTGCTTGGGATAGAGCCGGACCTGCACTGGTCATTACAGCCAGCACTCGCAGGCCCGTAGGTCACCGTTCCCATTAACCTCAGCCGTGCCACGGGGCATAAAGCGCATTTAAGGCGGACGTGGTACTACAGCGAAGACGGGGAAAAGAACAATCTCAATTAGTTTCATCGGTCTAAAGCCGGCAATGGAGCTTGCCCAGTCCTGGTGTGATCGGGGGAAGGTTGGGATGATGGATTACTTTCCAAGCTCAAAACACAAATAGATCTTGGGGGTTGTCGAGTCTTCTGGGTTGGGATTTTTCTCAGGCGATACACTATTGTGCTCCTGGGGTACCCTGCAGAGTTAAGTCGGCCATACATTATACAATTTTCCATTCAATTTCTGCCCAATTTCCTTTAGATTTACCTTCAACTATGTAGTGCAAGGGCCCGCCTAATTGGATACAATTGAAAGTGTTGTTTAGGTTTGACCTCATATTATATGGTTCAAAAAAAAAAAAAAAAAAATGGTCCATCTATGGCCACCCTTAGGCTAGCCATACTCTATACAATTTTCCATTCAATTTCTGCCCAATTTCCTTTTGATTTACCTTCAACTACTGTATGTAGTGCAAAGGCCCGCCTAAATGGATACAATTGAAAGTGTTGTTTGGGTTTGACCTCATATTATAAGGTTTTTGGTAAATCTAAAGCAAAATTCTCAAGAAAATTGTATAATGTACAGCCTAAGGCTGGCCATACATTATACAATTTTCTTTAGAAAATTGCTTTAGATTTACCAAAAACCATAGAATATGAGGTCAAACCTAAACAACACTTCAATTGTATCCATTTAGGCAGGCCCTTGCACCACATAGTGGAAGGTAAATCTAAAGGAAATTGGGTAGAAATTGAACAGAAAATTGTATAATGTATGGCCAGCCTAAGGGTGGCCATAGATGGACCTTTTTTTTTTTTTCCATTCAGCCACCGTTCTGAACAAAAAAAAAAAAAAAAAAAAAAAAAAACAACAAATGGATTCCCCCATCCACACAAGCAAGGTGGATAGAGGATTCCTCCCCAATGAGATTGTATTCAGACAGTGGGGACTCTGAACAGAAGCGGTTATGCATGGATCAAAAACTGGCGGTTCTTGCTGAACCGGCCGAATTTTGATCCATCAATGGCCAGCCTAATGCATGCACTTATGATGTGGACATCTGCAATACTGGAGAACCAGACTGCCCAGCCAACCTACAGATTCTGCCTAACCATCCTCCGCTTTCCTGTCCATGTCAACTGTAGGCTCTGTTCACACTTGGCGTGCAACAAAGCACACGTTTTGGAAATGTGCATCATATTTGCAGTCTCAATTGTTAACGGCACTCCAAGTGCATGCTCTGAAGAAACAGGCCATGCTCCGTGCCTGAAAAATGAACTGCACGAAGGGCAGTCCATTCGAGTGATCATATTCAGTATATCTCTGCAATACATGCACATTTCCCCATGTCCCTTTAAAACAAAAAAAAAAAAAAAGTTGAAAGTAAAGAAAATGGCCTGTTGACCCACCAAATTTCCAATGGGCTCCTGCCTTCATGTAGAGAGCAGACATCTCCATGCCTCTGCATTACTGATATCCAAAGCACCGTTGTCAGCCATGTCCAGGTCTCCCTGATGGTCTACAGAACACCCCTTTCTTCTCATCTCTATAATATTGAGGGGGGTGGTATACTGTAGTCCAGCAGAAGAAAACTGGGCGCTTGCTCTCCTGTGACCCACAATCAGTCAACAGCAGCCTAAAGCCTGCTATCAGCTGACGTCACCAAGCCACTCCAGGATCTGGAAGGATCCCGACCATATTGTCGGGAACCACCTGGATGCCTGATCGGTAGCTGGCTCTCAGCACGTCGCTTTTCTAGCATGGTGCTCCAGTGAGCAAAGAGAGATGACTGACGGTCACAGCTCTCAGAACCATGAACTGCGAGATTGGTGGTCATCTGATCGCTCAGTTCTCCGGTCTAGAGCCGGCGACTGATGCTGCAGCATGGATGTGAGTATTATGGTGTCCTTTTATGAAACAGAGATCAGCGGCGATCCTGAGGATCGTTGCTGATCTCCGATCATTAGTGGGTTAGGAAGCAGAGATGATCAGTGGAGAACGTTCTCTGCTGATCATCTCAGCACACAGATGGCCAGTATATGAAGGAGCGATGTCAGCCCTTCACTGTGTTCTCCCTCCAGATTCTCCAGCCCAGAGGTGGAGAATCGGAGGAACTGCAAACGAAGCAGCAATAATTTACCTCTGCTTAGAAAACGGTGTTTGACCGATCTTACTTTAACCTCGCGAGATTATAGTAAAAGCAGACATTTTTGTTGATCGCTTCTCCCTTCAGTCGGAGAAGCGATCTACACTGCTTCATAAAAAGGCATTCAGAGGAGAACCGTCTCCTCCGAGAGTGCCCGGACGAACCGTCTCCTCCGAGAGTGCCCGGACGAACCGTCTCCTCCGAGAGTGCCCGGACGAACCGTCTCCTCCGAGAGTGCCCGGACGAACCGTCTCCTCCGAGCAGGGGCGGACTGACAACTCATGGGGCCCCCAGGCAATAGGGGATCATTGGGCCCCCAGGCAATAGGGGATCATGGGGCCCCTTTGTCCTTGCCCACACTCAAACCACACCCAAAAAAGCCTATGAAAGGTACCAGGGGCATCTCATGGGGCCCCCTTCTGACCCCAGGCCCTGGGGCAGTGCCCAAGTTCCCAAATGGTCAGTCCGCCCCTGTCTCTGAGAATGCTGGAGAACTGAGCAGCAGTAATTTACCACTGCCCAGGCGAACCGTCTCCTCCGAGAATGCCGGAAGAGCCGTCTCCTCCGAGAATGCCGGAAGAGCCGTCTCCTCCGAGAATGCCGGAAGAGCCGTCTCCTCCGAGAATGCCGGAAGAGCCGTCTCCTCCGAGAATGCCGGAAGAGCCGTCTCCTCCGAGAATGCCGGAAGAGCCGTCTCCTCTGAGCAGGGGCGGACTGACAACTCATGGGGCCCCCCGGGCAATAGGGGGATCATGGGGCCCCTGTGTCCTTGCCCACACTCAAACCACACCCAAAAAAGCCTATGAAAGGTACCAGGGGCATCTCATGGGGCCCCCTTCTGACCCCGGGCCCTGGGGCAGTGCCCAAGTTCCCAAATGATCAGTCCGCCCCTGTCTCTGAGAATGCTGGAGAACTGAGCAGCAGTAATTTACCACTGCCTGGACGAACCGTCTCCTCCGAGAATGCCCGGAGAGCAGTCTCCTCCGAGAATGCCCGGAGAGCCGTCTCCTCTGAGCAGGGGCAGACTGACAACCCATGGGGCCCCCGGGCAATAGGGGATCATGGGGCCCCTGTGTCCTTGCCCACACTCAAACCACACCTAAAAAAGCCTATGAAAGGTACCAGGGGTATCCTCATGGGGCCCGAGTTCCCAAATGGTCATTCCGCCCCTGCCTTTGAGAATGCCGGAGAACTGAGCAGCGGTCATTTACCACTACTTGATAAAAGGACACCAATGTTTATTTTTTTTTTTACAAATCCATACTTCTCCTTTCAATACTTTGAGTCACCAGCTCAGAACTTTACTCTGACCTTCCCGACCTGCCTATTTGCTCCAGGTCAGTGGCTCGATATTGAATTCAGGGGGTTAGCAAAACAATCAGGCAATTCTTTTGAAAGTAAAGACTCGCTCCTCGACTGGACTGACCGCTTCCTAAATGATTAGTCCGTTTGTTCCCGTCTGCTTATAGCGCTTACAGCAGACTCGCCATATCTCCCATGAGAACGATACCGCGCAGTTGCTGAGCACCTGTCTACATCATAGGATCATCTTCCAACTCTTTTTTTTTTTTCTTTTACGCTTTACTGGAAAACATTTTGCGACATTGTTTTTGAGTTGTATCCTTGGAAAAGTCTGTCTGTTGCTTCTTGAATCCAAAATGGTTCCAACAGAAGCTAGGATGACGGGCGGTAGGGTTGGTGTATGCGGTTACTAAAATTTTTGTGTGTTTTTATGCTTTTGTAATGAAGTCATTTAAAAGAAAAAAAAAAAAAAAAAAAAGGGGCAAATAACGCCACAATCGTCCAGGAATGAATAGAAGCCGTTTCCATTTTTCTTTAAAATGTAAACCTTCCAGCGAGACGGATCGGCACAGCTTGCGACAAGTGTTTCCTGGCTGCGAACAGCTTCAAGTCTCTGACGTTGTTCAAAGCGCAACCAAACGAAATGTGTGTTTTTTTGTTTTTTTTTAAATAATATGTGGGGCGTGATGATTGCCTGATCCCAGTGTGCGAATCTCGGTCACGGGCGTCGAAATAGCAAAAGGCACCACCCAGCACCACGCGGACATATGCCAGAGATTCTGCATAGTTCAGCAATGCAACAGGTGAGGGGGGGTCCAGAAATCCGAGCCGGGGAGACAATGTCCTCTGTTTCTAAATAGTTCTCAATGGGGGCAAAGGCCTTCTTGGGTATCGCTCCCCCCCCCCCCATCTATAATATGGATTATCCATACCATCTGTGCAAATATCTCAGACCGTCCTGAGGGGGTCAACCGACTATTCCCATGAGAACCCCAACCACTACTCGCATGATGGCCAAATCCCTCACCAAATGGTTCCGTTCCATCTTGGAAGCAGTATGGCTGATGGAAAGGTTTAAACTTTTCAGTAGATTTGAATCTATCAAACCATTCCCACAATCTAGCAGACTCCCAATTCCTCGATTCTGATACAGTCCTGTTGAATAACCTTTTTTTTATCCAAAGCCTGAACGTTGTGTTGTCTAGCCTAGACCCAAAACGTCGTTGGGTTCTCCTTCGAGGACTAGCAGTCTGTCAATGTGATCTCTACAACTGCCATGGCCTCTGGAGATCATCAGATTAGATTATGTGAAAGACGATCAATTCACTTGTAATTAAAATGACAGAAGATTGACAGTTGTTTTCATTTAGCTGTCGTCTGAAGTGCGTAAAAGGAAAAAAAAAAAAAAACACAAAAAAAAAAACCAAACTATTTTTTATAGCTGCCATGTAGTTGAGAACATTTAACGGGATACATCAATTCTCCTGTCTGACGAAAAGTAATCGGCTCCTCGTCACGTTGCTTGCCAAACTGGTAGAACCAATCGCACCCCATAGCGTTGCAGTTCTAAAGCGGATTTTAATTTGCATCCTGAAAAATCCCAGGACGCAAGATGGCCACCGAGATGCCAAGCTGCCAGGAATGGGCTTCAATTGATGGGAAAGTGGTAGAAATTAAACTGCAAAAAAGTATCAGTATAATAAAAGAATGTGGTAGAGGGACTTTAAAATTTTGGGTTTTGGAACATCAGTTTTTTGAAGATTGCATTTTTAAAGTCCCTCTACCACATTCTTTTATTATACTGATACTTTTTTGCAGTTTAATTTCTACCACTTTCCCATCAATTGAAGCCCATTCATGCCAGCTTGGCATCTCGGTGGCCATCTTGCGTCATGTGATTTTTCAGGATGCAAGTTAATATCCGCTTTCGAACTGCAACACCATGGGATGCGATTGGTTCTACCAGTTTGGTAATATGTTAATAAGGGTAGAACATGTTCCAAAAAGTAAACTTATCCTTTAAATTTGGATGGAGTAATCCATTATATTATTGTCCAAAGTTAAAGATTCATTAAGAATGCAACTTTGATAAATTTGCAAAAATGTTAAAAAATTCGGGTTTTGGAACATCAGTTTTCTAAAGATTGCATTTTTAAATTCCCTCTACCACATTCTTTTATTATACGGATACTTTTTTGCACTTTAATTTCTACCACTTGCCCATGAATTGAAGCTCATTCATGGCAGCTTGGCATATCAGTGGCCATCTTGCGTCATGTGATTTTTCAGGATGCAAGTTAAAATCCACTTTTGAACTGCAACACCATGGGATGCAATTGGTTCTACCAGTTTGGCAATATGTTAATAAGGGTAGAACGTGTTCCAAAAAGCGAACTTATCCTTTAAATTTGGATGGAGTAATCCGTTATGTTATTGTCCAAAGTTAAAGATTCATTAAAAATGCAACTTTAATAAATTTGCAAAAATGTTTAAAAATTCGGGTTTTGGAACATCAATTTTCTAAAAAATTTTACATTTTTGCAAATTTATCAAAGTTGCCTTTTTAGTGAATCTTTAAATTTGGATGGAAATTAATCCGTTATGTTATTGTCCAAAGCTAAAAATTCACTAAAAAAGTAACTTTGATAAATTAGCAGAAATGTTTAAAAATGCGGGTTTTGGAACATCAGTTTTCTGACCATTTTTCAAGGATTTCACTTTTTCACAAAAAATAAATAAATGCACATCACAAACTGTTGGCGCTATATAAATCCTGTATAATAATAATAATAATAATAATAATAATAATCTATAACTTGTAAGCTTTTCCTAGATATAGAAGATACTACAATTTAATGCTATAAAAAAATAAATAGTATGCTGGTCATTGTAATACTGTATCAAATTTACAAAATACCTGACTTTTTTTTTTTTTTTTTAAATTTGATACAGTATTACAATGACCAGCATACTATTTATTTTTTTTATAGCATTAAATTGTAGTATCTTCTATATCTAGGAAAAGCTTACAAGTTATAGATTATTATTATTATACAGGATTTGTATAGAGCCAACAACTTGTGCAGCACTTTACAAAATACCTGACTTTTTTTTTTTTTTTAAGTGCTGCACAAGTTGTTGGCTCTATACAAATTCTGTATAATAATAATAATAATCTATAACTTGTAAGCTTTTCCTAGATATAGAAGATACTACATTTTAAGGCTATAAAAAATAATCGTATGCTGGTCATTGTAATACTGTATCAAATTTAAAAAAAAAAAAAAAAAAAAAGTCAGGTATTTTGTAAATTTGATACAGTATTACAATGACCAGCATACTATTTATTTTTATAGCCTTAAAATGTAGTATCTTCTATATCTAGGAAAAGCTTACAAGTTATAGATTATTATTATTATACAGGATTTGTATAGAGCCAACAACTTGTGCAGCACTTAAAAAAAAAAAAAAAAAGTCAGGTATTTTGTAAAGTGCTGCACAAGTTGTTGGCTCTATACAAATCCTGTATAATAATAATAATAATAATAGTAATAATAATAATAATAATAATAATCTATAACTTGTAAGCTTTTCCTAGATATAGAAGATACTACAATGTAATGCTATAAAAAAAATAAATAGTATGCTGGTCATTGTAATACTGTATCAAATTTAAAAAAAAAAAAAATTCAGGTATTTTGTAAAGTGCTGCACAAGTTGTTGGCTCTATACAAATCCTGTATAATAATAATTTTCTTTTACAATTTTTACTTTTTACCAACCTTTATTTTTTTTAAACTGTATGTTACGACAGGTGTACTTCTTGGGGTGGGGGGGGGGGGGGGGGGTAATGTAACATGTTTTTTTCCCGACCTAGCAACACTGCCAAAAATAACTAACTGGGTATACTTTACAAAATAAAAAGACTCTCAAACGTCTTATAAGATTGCGGTGTTATAAATGGCTCATGCCGTAATGTATCTACTTTCCCTCAGTCATGGTAAATATGAGAATTTCAAGTGGGTGATGTTAGAAGAGTATAGTCGACACTTGAAAGGGAGAAAAAGGAAGGACAACATTCTCATGTGTACTCCGAGACAGGGCAAATATCAAAAGAAGCATATCTATTGCTAAAGTGAGCCAAAAAACAAAAATCTTTGCTTTAGATTTTTTTTTTTTTTTTTATCTCTAAATGCTAAAAAAAAAAAAAAAAAAGTTACTTAGATTCCAAAAGCCAAAACAAATTTTCTGCTTTGGATATTTTTATTTTCAAATGCTAATAAACTGTTTAGTTTCCAAAAAGTAAAAGTTATTTTTTTTGCATACTTTTCCTTATTTATTGTACTTGGCATAATGAAAGGGAAAAAAAAAAAAACGCCAAATTGAAAAAATTCAGACTCTAATTTGCACAGGCTACAATATTTGAATTTTAAATTATATTTCTGTTTATTTGTATTTATTGTCAGGAATAAATAATTTCTGACATTTCTGACAACAGTTCTATGTCATAGTTCACACTGAACCAGCACTTCTGAGAAATGTAAAATAATAATTTTGGCACCTAATAAAGAATTAGGATGAAGACACAGTGGATTTTTTCGTTTAAAACATTTTTTTTTTTTTTTTTCCCCAAGACAATGTTGATTTTTATTTTAACAAGTGTAATTTAAGAAACCATAAGAACTGCTGAATAATGTCAAATAACTGTGATTAAATATTAATCTAGGATTTAAAAAAAGTATCAGTAGAGGGAAAATGTGAAAAAAAAAAATATATATATATATATATAGAAATGTGGTATGAATTTAAATGGATGGAAAAATGCTAAGTAGATTCATTCGGTATACTAAAACACCTCTTTTAGTCAGTCCACTTTTTGTCAACTGCTTAATGAGAATCAGGAAAGCTTTGGCACCATGTAAGATATTCATTTCCAAAATAAATATTATGGATGTTAAACCCCCCTCAAAAAAAAAAAAAAAATATCACTTTGCACGTTTGTATAGTTAAGAAAAGTGCCGGTTTATATTCAAAATCGGTTGGTTTATGACAGATAGAATTGGCAGAGCTTGCCATAAATCACTATATTTAATAAAATAGTCCTCCTTTTGCCCTGAACTGTGAATAATATGGCTGAGGTACGTTCAAGGTTAATACAATAGGTAATGTAAACCAGACTACAATAAAAAAAAAAAAAAAAAAAAAAAAAAAGTTGAATAAGAAGTCTGCAACATATTAGGGGCTAATCCTGTTCCTTTTAAATACCCATTAGCTGTATAAACAGGTTTAGTGAGCCAGACATGAAATCTTCCTTCACCGACTTCACTGTAGTAGACCAATGTCTAGTTGCTATGAGTTACTGCACATTATTTTTGCCTTTGCAAACCCAAATACTGACTTACAGAAGTTATGTATACCAAGATAAATAAAATATAATTTTTACAATTATTTTTTTGTTGCAAAAGTTTGAATTTGCAGGTTGAATTTTGGTTTTCTACGGGCTATAGGAGACAGGTGCACTTTAATATCACATGCAGTGTACATTTGCTTTGGGGGTTTTTTTGGTTTGTTTTTTTTGCTCCTTTCGGCTGCAATGGAGAATTTAGGGAAAAAAAAAAAAAAGGGGGGGGGACTGCTATGTGGTAGGGCTTGCCTTGTTGGAGGCCATTATGTAGGCTGAAGTTATACAACTGAAATGACGTCAGGTTCCCAGATCCAGGCCAATTAACCACTCCCCGTCCAGCCGCTGTATATAAACGGCCGGACAGTGGCAGTGCAGGGGCGGGTTGCTGTTCATAAATGGCGCCCCCCATTTTGGACTGTGCGCACTCCCCGGGAGCGCGCAGTACAGCAATCCGGTGCCCGCTGTGTCCAGGCTGTGAACACCAAACGCTGTACGGGACCTCTGTGTGAGGTCCCAATCATGTGATCACTGACTGGCCAATCAGTGATCACATGAATAGTAAGCAAGATGTCACTTCTGACATCATTGCTTACTACGTGTGAAATCTGTGAATGATCACATGGTACAGGGCCATTCACAACGGCCTTGTACCATGTGACAAGCTGTGACCAATCACAGCTCACTCAGTACTTCTCAATGGCTGCAAGAATGCAGCCAGAGAGAAGGAGAAAATGATTGTTTTTACCGCCTTTATGGGCGTAAAAGCAATCAGTGTAAGTTAAAAAAAAAAAAAAAAAAAAAAAAAAAAAATCTTCATCATCCCCCACAAGTAGTAGTGTCACTATGGTGACCCTGTACTGCTAGGGTGACAGTATGTTAAAAAAAAAAAAAAACAAAGAATATAAAAAAAAATTAAAGTGTCCGGACTGGAAGGGGGGGGGGGGGGGAGGAAAGCGTCCGGACAGGAAGGGGGGGGGGGGGAAAGCGTCCGGACAGGAAGGGGGGGGGGGGGGGAAAGCGTCCGGACAGGAAGGGGGGGGGGGGGAAAGCGTCCGGACAGGAAGGGGGGAGGGGGAAAGCGTCCGGACAGGAAGGGGGGAGGGGGAAAGCGTCCGGACAGGAAGGGGGGAGGGGAAAGCGTCCGGACAGGAAGGGGGGGGGGAAGCGTCCGGACAGGAAGGGGGGGGGGAAAGCGTCCGGACAGGAAGGGGGGGGGGGGAAGCGTCCGGACAGGAAACAGGGGGGGGGGGGGGGGGGGGGAAAGCGTCCGGACAGGAAGGGGGGGGGGGGGGAAAGCGTCCGGACAGGAAGGGGGGGGGGGGAAAGCGTTCCGGACAGGAAGGGGGGGGGGGAAAGCTTCCGGACAGGAAGGGGGGGGGGAAAAGCATCCGGACAGGAAGGGGGGGGGGGGAAAAGCATCCGGACAGGAAGGAAGGGGGGGGGGGGGAAAGCGTCCGGACAGGAAGGGGGGGGGGGGAAAAGCGTCCGGACAGGAAGGGGGGGGGGAAAAAGCGTCCGGACAGGAAGGGGGGGGGGGAAAAGCGTCCGGACAGGAAGGGGGGGGGGGGAAAGCGTCCGGACAGGAAGGGGGGGGGGGGGAAAGCGTCCGGACAGGAAGGGGGGGGGGAAAAAAGAAAAGCGTCCGGACAGGAAGGGGGGGGGGGGGAAAGCGTCCGGACAGGAAGGTTGGGGGGGGGAAAAAAAGCGTCCGGGACAGGAAGGGGGGGGGGGGGGGGAAAAGCGTCCGGACAGGAAGGGGGGGGGGGGGGAAAAGCGTCCGGACAGGAAGGGGGGGGGGGGAAAAAAAAGCGTCCGGACAGGAAGGGGGGGGGGGGGTTTGGGAAAAGCGTCCGGACAGGAAGGGGGGGGGGGGGAAAAGCGTCCGGACAGGAAGGGGGGGGGGGAAAAAACGCGTCCGGACAGGAAGGGGGGGGGGGAAAAGCGTCCGGACAGGAAGGGGGGGGGGGAAAAAAAGCGTCCGGACAGAAGGGGGGGGGGGAAAGCGTCCGGACAGAAGGGGGGGGGGAAAAAAAAAAAGCGTCCGGACAGGAGGGGGGGGGGGGGGGGGGGGATAGGAAAGCGTCCGGACAGGAGGGGGGGGGGAAAGCGTCCGGACAGGAGGGGGGGGGGGGGGGGGGAAAGCGTTCTGGACAGGAGGGGGGGGGGGAAAGCGTCCGGACAGGAGGGGGGGGGGGGGGGGGAAAGCGTCCGGACTGGAAGGGGGGGGGGGGGGGGGGAGAGCAGCGCGTACCGGACTGGAAGCGTCCGGACTGGAAGGGGGGGGGGGAAAGCGTCCGGACTGGAAGGGGGGGGGGAAAGCGTCCGGACTGGAAGTGGTTAATTCACCAGTATTTGCCAAACATTACCTTTTCTTATTTTAGTATAATGCACCTTGCGTTTTTCTTGATTTTGAAAGGAATCGGTCGCAATGTGTGAGAGGAACTTCATTGTAGGGCAGCATGGTGGCTAAGTGGTTAGCACTTCCGCCTGGCAGTACTCGGGTCATTGGTTCGAATACCAGCCACGGCACCACTTGCCTGGAGTTTGCATGTTCTCCCTGTGCCTGCGTGGGTTTCCTCTGGGTACTCCGGTTTCCTCCCACCCTCCAAAGACATGCTGGTAGGTTTAATTGGCTCCTGTCCAAATTGGCCCTAGTATGTATGAATGTGAGTTAGGGACCTTAGATTAGACGCTCCTTGGGGGCGGGGACTGATGTGAATGTACAAATATATATGTAAAGTGCTGCGTAAACTGACAGCACTATATAAGTACCTGAAATAAATAAATAGAGAAGCTGTCATTTTCAGCCCCTTGAGATGCCGGTTCTGGTGTTTTGGTGCCATGACTACAGAGCACCGCTGTCGTTGGAAGTCCCGTCTTCCTGTAACAGATACACTCTCTGGGAACGTTCCTTTAAGGCTTCTCAAACAGGAAACCGAAAGGGACAGTTTTTAAAAATGAATATATTAATGTTCTTAATTAATTAATATATTTTTCAGCCAAGTGCATCCTGAATTTTCATTTTCTGCACCAAAATTTTCATTTCGGTGCTCCACTATATACATTATTTTCTGTCATTTTATGACAAAGTTTTGCTCCGAATTTCGGAATTTTCTTCAAATTCAATCCCTTAAATTAAACCATTTCAAAACCTCACCCTAGTCTACCATGCACTGCCCATAGCCTCCCAACCTCTGTACGCTCGCTATAGTCACTTAGCGGAAAGGATATGCGCGTTCACAATTCTTATATTTTTGTTACCACGTGCCGTAATGAGGTTTACAAAATTTGCAATCCTATACCTCGAGTTTTGGCTGCATCAGCCAATGCCCAGGTGCCATGATAAAGCCGACAGCTTATTGAAGCCAAAAATAGATATGGAAAAGCCTTCTCTCCTAATGTTTTCTATGCCATCTATGGGCTGAGTAAAAATAACTCGCTTTTATGGAAGTCATATATGTTGGAAAAGCTTAATGGAGCCAAGATACCAAATACATGTCTATGTGCAGAAGAATCTTACTGCCCCATGAATGAGCCCAACCTGTCAAACCCTCCTTTACAAGAGATAGGTGTGTGTGTGTGTGTGTGTGTGTGTGTGTGTGTGTGTGTGTGTGTGTGTGTGTGTGTGTGTGTGTGTGTGTGTGTGTGTGTGTGTGTGTGTGTGTGTGTGTGTGTGTGTGTGTGTGTGTGTGTGTGTGTGTGTGTGTGTGTGTGTGTGTGTATACATACATACATACATACACACACACACACAGATAGAGAGATTTTTTTATATATATATATAATTTATACAGTGTTTATAATGTGCCAATAGTTGGCTCAGCGCTGTACATTACAAAGGGTGACAGAACATGTGACAGAACAATACCAATACAATGCAAAACATGAGGGGATTGAGGGCCCTGCTCTTTGGAGCTTACAATCTATATATATATATATATATAATCTCTATCGATAGATACTTAGGCAGAGAGCTAGAAAGTGCTATATAAGTATAGTATCTTTCTGTTTTTCTCCCCAATTTCTAACCCCCCCCATCCTAAATTGAAAAAAAAAAAGAGTTTGGTAACTCAATAACCGTTACTATATCAGACACCTTGCGCTCCCCGCAGAAAAACACTGACAGCGATGTGAACACTTTGCTACGTATAAAGCTGTGAAACGACCAAAATTGACAGCAAACGAACAAGAAAAGCGTGACTTGATAACAAATGCAAGCACTACTTTTTTTTGATCAAAGTTCTGTTTTTCCTCCAAAAAGAGAACAAACAGCATCACATGATACAGCACTAATGTGTCCTATTTTCAGATTATATATATATATATATATTATATATATATATATATATATATATATATATATATATATATATCTGCCCCATGAAAGAGCCCAAACTGTCAAACCCTCCTTTACAAAGCAAATAAAAAATTATTTATTTTTATATATATATATATATATATATATATATATATATATATATATATATATATATATATATATATATATATATACACACACACACACACAATATATATATATATACACATACATATATATACACATATACACATACATACATACATACATATACACATACATACATATACACATACATACATACATACATATACACATACATACATATACACATACATATATATATATATATATATATATATATATACATACATATATACATACATATATACACACATAATTTTTTTTTTTTTTAAATGTAATAATTTATTTATTGTTTATGTATTTATTTTTTTATTCCTATATACAAGATAATTTTATTTTTTTATCCCTTTTTTTTATTTTTTTATTCCTACATTTAAGATACAGAGGGGTTGATTTACTACAACTGAAGAGTACAAACTCTGGTGCAGCTGTGCATGGCAGCCGATCAGCTTCTAACTTCAGCTTGTTCAGTTAGGCTTTGACAATAAATCCTGGAAGCTGATTGGTTTCCATGCAGAGTTGCACCAGATTTTGCACTCTCTGGTTTTATTAAATCAACCCCAAAGTTTGACTGCCAGAACAATTCCCCAACATCTGTTCGCTATGGTGTCCTGTCACTACTGTGCCACAGTCTGCGTCCAGCCAAGGAAAATTCACTACTGTTATTTCAGATAAATTACCCTTCCAGAACGCCATATTGCATTTTCAGACACAAAAAATTCTACTTGTGACTTTAATTCTAAAGGTTTTTTTTTTTTCTCTTTTACGTCATATAAAAGAAATTTAAAATGAAACAAAGTGAGATTAAACAAAGTGAACACACAGCTCAAACATTCTAGGTGACTTACTGAAAGCATATAAAAAAGGAACAGAAGTCCTGAGCTGTCGTTTCCCATAAAAAAAAAAAAAAGGGAGGGAATAAAAAGTTTTGAGAACAAAAGTTTCAAGAGCAAAAGGGCAGAACAAAACATTATTATGACACAGAATCTTCCCAAGGCATTTTTTTGTGTGTGGTAATGTTCACATCCCTGTCGTAACAAGTCTTCCTTTTTTTTTTTTTCCTAGTCTTTTCTTTTGAAGCCAGATTAAAGACGAGAAAAATTGTTACTTTAACACTATTCTTTTTATGCAAAAAAAAAGAGAAAGAAAAAGTAAATAAATATTTATGCACTTCCCCTTTCAGCTCTACAGACGATACTTCATGCATTTCTCAATTTGATC